CAGTGGTAGAGCACACAAGAGCACACGGAGGAAGCATGGCCCACTTGATGAACAAAGGAAGATACATGTCTATATTCAGAAGGATGGCAACAAAGAGTCTCAGTGGGAAACACTTAACCAGTTAGACACTGAAAGGTAGCACTCTACCAGGGCGGCTGGTAACAGGTAATGACTGGGGGAAGGGGGTTAGGTGTTGAGAGACTTGGTGAATGGATGGAAGTGGAGCTGGCAGAGAAGAGTCAACATCAAATGCCAACTTGTGATCCCAGGAACCTGACAAGATGGGCCCTGGTTTACTGTGGTCAGGGACTCTGGGCATGCCCAGGACAGGAATTCTGAATGGCATCCTCCACCCAGTAGATGAGCCTCATCTCTTCTAGCTTCTGATGTGGGATTCCCCTCAGTATGCTGTGAATATCATTGGCTAATAAAGGAACTGCTTTGGGCCTAGAGCAGAGCTATAGAGGAACAGAACTAGGCAGGGAAAACTAAACTGAATATTGGGAGAAAGGAAGTAGAGGCACAGAGAAGCCATGTAGCACCGCCGAAGATAGACGCTGGAACTTTTCCCGGTAAGCCACAATCTTGGGACGATACACAAATTAATAGAAATGGGTTAAATTAATATGTAAAAGTTAGCCAATAAAAAGCTAGAGATAATGGGCCAAGCAGAGGTTTAATTAATATAGTTTCTATGTGTTATTTCAGGCCTGAGCTGCTGAACAGCCGGAACGACCAAGCAGCCTGTCTCCTTACAACAAGCTTCCACGGAAGTAGCCACAGATGGATAAGTAACAGATTTCTTTAATGTACCTACTTTGGCTTTAGGGAAAAGGTCTAGGATACCCAGTGGTGCTTTCAGACTTGTACACCAGAAGTCCTGTCATGAAGTAGATATCTGGAGGCAAACATAGGGAAGAGGTGTGATGTCTGCGTAACTATGACTCCAGTGTTTACCCCCAGAACTGATATCTCACCAGGAGAGCCAAGAGGTACAGAGTGAGGGGTAGCAATCGGCCCACTCCAACCACCCATCCTTTGGAATCCCAGCAGGGGCGGGTGGTCCACTCAATGCAGCATGTGGAAGAAGCAACATAAAGGCAACAACAGAAACACTGTATTTTCTTACTTCCCCCTCAGAAGGTTCCTATCCAAGACTGTGCTGAAAGGAGAAAGGAGAAGGCTGTGTGTTCCCTTCCACAGCCTTGCAGGAAACATCCTGCCCGCACCCCCACCCCAAGCGTCTCTCCGCAGTAGAATTTCTGCCAGGGCTCCCTCCCCTCCAGGAGTACATTTCTTGGACCTGTTCCAAGCTCTTGGAGAAGCTGGCACTTCATCAAGACACTTAAAGATGGGCTGACGAAGGAGAAGTGTGAAGACAGAACCTAGGCTATAGAATCCCAGAGGCGCTTTCTCTACTGGGCCAACGTGAGCAGAGTCCTGTGAAGTTGGGGGTGATAGAAACCAGCTAAGGAGTCAAGACCTTAGCTGCTTCCTCGGTATTGGGGCTTTCCCTGGCATTACACACAGGCATGCACATACACACACATGCACGCACGCGCGCGCGCGCACACACACACACACACACACACACACACACACACACACTGCAGAGCCTTACACCTTTGGTTCCGGTACACTAGGTTTGTCTTACAGGTCCCGAGTACCACCAGCATTCGAGTCTCTTGCCTATAGTGTTTTCCAAGGACTGAATTCACAACACATATCTGTAATGAGAGGAAAAATCCAAAAGGAAAAAAATAAATGTCAAAACTAAAGAGTCCAAGCTTGACAAAGGAGCCAGGGGAAACTAGCCCTACAGCTAAAGAGGTTTCCAGAGACACAAAATTGCTCCGCTTCCTACCACGCGGCTATAAACTCTGCCAGACCCAAGGCTTGGATGGCTCACTCCCACCCCTCTTGGAGTTTAATGAGGGTCCTCTGGCAGGCTTGCCAGCACCTCCCTTTCCTACTCCCCACTCTCTTCACCACCAGAGTCCTTAATGACAAGCCCAAACATCCTGGGCCCCTTTCCAGCCAAAAGGCTTCTCCGGTGACATGTATCTCTGGGCTACTCGATGACATGATTATAGAAGAAACAAAGGAAATATATTTGTCATAAATCTTGAACCAAAAAAGAGACATCATTAAAAAGTCGGGTTTCTTTCCAGTGGCCTTGGCAGGAAACAGCAAAGAGATGTTTGTGCGTTGGTCTCAGCATCTTTAATTAGCCCTTGCTGTTTCTCCATTCTATGAACCGGTCTGTACCTCACAAGCATCAAGAGAATTATTAGGTTGAATTCCCAACCCACAGTATGATGATGTTTGGAAGTATGGTCTTTGGAAGATAGCTAGATCATGACAGGGAGCCTTACCATGTCATTGGCTTCCTTTTATAGACACAAGAAGAGATGGTCTCTGTCTCTCTCCATCACGTAAGCTTTGGATGATAAAGTAATATCTACAAACCAAAGGAGAAGGCCACGCCACACATGCTGCCATCTTGAAATTGGGCCTGCCAACTCCAGAACTATGAGAAGCACCTGTTGGTTCTTTCAGACACCCTCTTGTGGCTGTATCCCAGAAAGACTAAGGTACTTCTAGTCCAGTTTGATGTCTCCAAGGCTAAGTTCTGCCCCCACTCCCCACACTCCCAAGGGCGCCTTCATGTAGCTTCTTTCTCAAAGACCCTAAGACGACAGAATTTTGAAGCAAGTTGCCAAGGAATGGAATCACCACAGGGAGGTCTGGAGTGAAGATATTGTACGGTTTCCAGGTGCCAGCTACCACAGCTGGATCCAGAGGACATCAGGACACCATAGCAAGTCAGTGCCCAGCACAGCATGGTGCTCAGTAGCCATTCGTTTTATGAAGAAATGATCTGTTTCTATGGCAACCATATGAAAGCTTCTCATTCAGACATGACAAACAACAACAACGATCTCTCAAGCAGTCCAGTAACCTACCCCATGCAGACCCTGAATGCAGGCCTGATTTTAGAGACACAAGAGAGATTCAGGAAGTACCAATATCGTTCTAGAGTCTATTCCAAACAGAAAGCCCGTTCCCCCCAGAGTACTCAAGACATGATGCTCTTCCTCGGCTGATACCCACGATATCTATTATGCATAATTTATGACATTTATTGTTTATGGTTAGGATGTACACAGAGGCGAGAGGGCACCTTAAAAGAGTCAGCTCTCTCCTTCTACCGTGTGGGTCCTGGAGATTGAATTCAGATCATCAGGCTTGGGGACAAGAGCCTTAGCTCACTAAGCCACTCTGCTGACTCAAATATCTATCTATATTGACAGTAATGTGGCCTTATTGCTTTTTGTACTTCTTACTACCTGTGAGATGCAGGCATTGTGGTGTTTGCTATAATCGATTACAGTAGTCACATTAAGTCCTGAATTCCTTTCAAACGTCTGACTCCCTTGGTATCCCTAGGACCTAGAGAAAACTTCACAAATGGTCCTTGTGTCAATGGAAGGACAGATGGATAGATTGGTATGAATTCTTGTACTTGAAAAGTACTGTTATTAGCCCTATGTCATGTGATCTTTCCATGACTTGACAAATTAACGCTACCTCAAAAAAAAAAAAAATCCAGTTGCAGAGCTGACAATCTTGTAAGAAACTATTTTTGAATTATTTGAAGAAGGTGGGAAACATGGAGACACAAATGTTGATCTAGCATACAAAGAGGGAGCATATATATACACACACACGCAAAATCTTCCTTTCCGGTACCATTATATACAGAAGTATACCAAGAGAATTACTTATGTTAAAAGTGAATTCCCACTGCAATGATATTGGGCAATGTGACTTTTCCTCCATTTCTTTAAGGGAATTTTTTATTTCCTCTCTAAGGACCTCAATCATCTTCATAAAGTTGTTTTTAAGGTTGTTTTCTTCTGCCCCGTCTGCGTCGGGATGTCCAGGCCTTGCTGGTGTAGAACCTCTAGTTTCTGGTGCTGCCGTATTGCTCTTGCTGTTGTTGAATGTGCTCCTACACTGCCGTCTGCTCACCTCTTCCTCCGGTCAGGGCCGGTGAAGCCTGTGCCTCCAGGGGTCCCTACTCCTCCAATTGTTGCAGGTGGATCTGTGGCTCTGGTGGTCACTGATGCAGCTGCCAGGGATAGTGGGCAGGGAAAGGATGCTGCTGCCTGGTCACTGGGGCTGTGGTGGGTGGGGGAGGTAGGCACTACAGTTTAAAGAGGTATACACTCTCAGGAGATTAAAGGCGTTACAGCAGGAGTGATAGGCTCTCATAGGAACAGGTCTGGGGAGTCAGTTTGCCTCCCTCAGCTTTCTCTGGACACTTCTCTTGCAAGCACTCTCTTATCACATGACTCCTACATACATGTTACAGCATGCATGGCGTGAAGCACTCCACCAGACACTGGACCCTCAGTTTTGGCTCTCTAGCCCTCAACCCTCTGAGACATGACTATTCCCTTTATAAACGATCTATTCAGCAACATCTTGTTGTAGCACCATCAAACAACCCCACAACACTCTGGACACTGCTATCTTTTTCTAGCTACGATGGGTTTCTCTGGACAGAAGGGTGGAAATGAGGTCCACCTAAGTAACCCAGGCTAGCCCTGAACTCACTGTGTAGCCCAGGCTAAACAAGAAATTGCAATACACCTGTCTTAACATCCCATGTGAGGTCATTGTCCCAAACTCTACACGTAGGAGCACTGTGGGCGTTCACTATGAAGGTTGTTCCGCCTGGGCCGAGAAGGGAAGCTCAGCTCTCCCAGCCCCTCCTTGAGCACCACCATTCACACCGGCTTGAGTAACCACATGTGTGGGTCCCTACTGCTGAGGATCCTGGGTCAAACAAAATATCTGTGCCCGTGACCATCCGAGAGCTGTATGAGGCACGAGGCTCAGCCTTCCACCCACACTGACACTCTGAGAGCAGAGGCCAGGCCTGCCTTTGTGCTGTGACTGAATCATTGAATCCTTCTGATAGTCCCACGTACAGGGAAGATATCACGTCCTGCTTGAGATCCAGATCTTGAGCTCCAGAAAGCTGAGGTAGCTTTCTCAAGACTGCATACCTGGGGATCCAGGGAGAAAAAGTTCCGCCTTGTTCTAGTAGAACCTAAAAGAGGCTCTGTAAACGAAGAAGATCTATTTACCTCTTTTCTGAATAAACAACCAAGGAACAAATTGGGCGTCCGGTTGTTTTGTTTTGCTTTCAGTGGGAGTGTTGATGGCAGTGGTGGTGGTGGTGATGGTGGTGGTGGTGGTGGTGGTGAAGGTGGTGGTGGTGATGGAGGTGATGGTGGGGATGGTGGTGGTGGTGGTAGCGGTGGTGATGGTGGTGATGGTGGTGATAGTGGTGATGGTGGTGATGGTGGTGATGGTGGTGATGATGATGATGGTGGTGGTAATGGTGGTGGTGGTGATGATGGTGGTGGTAATGGTGGTGGTGGTGATGGTGGTGGTGGTGGTGATGGTGGTAATGGTGGTGATGGCGATGGCGATGGTGGTGGTGGTGGTGATGGTGGTAATGGTGGTGATGGTGGTGGTGGTGGTGGTGGTAATGGTGGTGATGGTGGTGATGGTGGTGGTGGCAGTGGTTCTGCTTGGTTCTAATTTTAGTTAGATTTATTTTCACTCCTTCTTTCCTTTCTCCCTCCTCCCCTCCCTGCCTGCCCCCCATGTCCAAAAGAGATGACTTAGCTGAATGGCCTGAGAGGAGGTGCACTGTAAGTTTGACAAGACAGAAATCACTTTATATGGATTCCCTAAAACTGGGGACTGTGGTGTGGAAGTCTCCAAGCTTGGAGACCTTCAGCACAGGCAGAAAACAGCTGGGAGAAGGAGCAGACAGCAGCAGGCTGTGGGTGCCTTTGCTGAGGACCTGGCTGGACAGGGAAGAGGCCAGTGAGTTGACCTCTTCAAGCTGGTGCATGCTGACTAGGAGCAAGAACATCCCACTGTCGGCCCAAGCCCAAACACTCGCGTTTGGATTTTACTGAACTACTTCAATCCCAAGGATTCTTTACATTCCCAAGAAAGAGAGAAATGCCCCTTTCTCCTCTGTCCCCTAAGAGAACATGACTCACTATGCATGGGTTTTCTGCCAGACACGGCAGGTGGAGAACAAAGTCAGATTTATTTGTCTTGGAAAAATAAGGATGGTGTGAGGTTGCTCACACCAAGTGTCTCAGAGTGGATCCACACAGGTCCCAGCTGCTCCTGGGGAATTTTGTCCCAACCCCCCTCAGAAGACCTTGGGCTTTGTAGATCTCTTTTCCATCTAAGAACCATCACCGGCTCAGTGTCGATGAAGGCAAAAGGCATCTGGCAAGGACACAGTAATTAACTCAGAGTGTGCCTTCAAGACAATCAGAATAATTTATGTTTCTCCAGCACCCGCCATCCCCCCATTGGGCCTCCAGATTGTATGGCTATGACTCACCTCTCTGCTGCTGGAGGGTGGCTCTGAGCTGGCCTCAGACTGAAGTCTAGGCAGAACACTTTTTGAAATAATAATAAAGTGTAAAAAAAAAAAAACCACTCAGCTAATTACAAGTGAAACGCTCCCTGTCACGCACAGGCCGACTGACGTCATGCCTGGGCTGCAGAAATGTGATAAAATTCCCAAGTTGGTCCTTACATACTTTAAAGTCAGATGGCTCCACTACGATCCCACAACCTTGTATCCCAGCCAACATTTAAAATATGACCTAAGACGGGGCTGGTGACAGAGTAGCCGTGTTGGGGGGATTTCATCTGAAGTCAGCTTTCCTATGAGGTCTTATCCTTTTTGGGGCGCCATGGCGAGGTCACCTGATGGCTCCACTGAGGCACCACACTTCCTCAGGGATAAGACGTGATCATTGCATTGCCAAAAGCTCTCCTATCTGTCCTAGACACTTGACCTCTGGCCAACTTTACTACCACACTGTTATTCAATCACCAAATGTCTGCTCGGAGACATGGTACCACAGTGGCTATGATTGTAATGTTTATATTAAGAAACAATATAGGTTTGAATTTCTTGCCTCTCCAGGACTAGCTACATGAACTCTGGTTTTATTCCTTCATCAGCAAAGGGGAAAAAGTAAAGCAACCCCCGTGTGGGGCTTGGAGTGCCCCCCTGATACATGAAGACATCACACATTCACAAAGGCAACTAACTAAATTGGGCTCTAGTGGCAACCCCAACTATCTTCCACATGAGAAGACCCAAATGAGACTCTTCTACATCTAAATGGGACTGGGTTGCTTTCCTTGTAATCACAAGAACCCAAGTTTGCTTTCCCAGAACTCACATTAAGAAGCTTGGCCTGATGGTGGACAGTTCTAATCCCAGCATTGAAGAGATGGAGACAGGCAAGTCCCTGGGGTTTGATAGACAGTCAATCTAGTCTACTTGGCAACCCCTGGGTACTAAAAAGAGGGAGAAAAACTCTGTCAAAAAAAATAAAAAGAAAAACATAATGGTGGTACCTAAGGAAGACATTCTCTGATGTCTTCATGTCACATGGTTCTCTGATGCCTTCACGTCACATGGTTCTATGATGTCTTCACATCACATGGTTCTATGATGTCTTCATGTCACATGGTTCTATGATGTCTTCATGTCACAATGATTCTATGATGTCTTCATGTCACAATGGTTCTATGATGTTGATCCTATAACTCCCCAAAACAGCACCACCAGTTAGGGACCAGATGTTCAAACTCATGAGCCCGTGGAGGGCATTTCATAGTCAAGCCATAACAACATGCCTACAGGTCAGAATGGAGCAGTAGTGTCTCCTCACATGCCTGTTACTCCTGTACTGACTAGACCCATGACACATTCCTCTTGATTGCTCAGTTACTGAGTCTTTCTGGAACCTTGATCCCAGCTCTCCTCAGACAAGGTTGTCCTTCCTTCTTCATTCACCCGCCCCACTTTGGTATTCTTTCCATCCTGTCCCTATGGATAGACAGTGACACACACCCACACCTCTCAACTGTCACAGCGCCAGCAAACCTCAGCAAGTCATCCAGACCATGCCAGCATTGTATCCAGTTGACGGTACAACAATCTCTCTTTTCTCGGTGTGTGATCTTTCTGCATCATGGAAGGACAAGAGAGTAGATTTGGGTTGGGGTAAATCCTGTCTGGTGTGACACAGATGTTGACTTTCGATCTAGTTTCCTAAGGGTACAGTCTGAGTTGTGAGGACTGAGTGTGCGTGAATTACAATAGCATCAAGGACAAATGCAAAGGGAAGGAAGGAAAAGCTAAGCCAAGATGCGGGTTTAGTGGACATCACACCAAAAGCTGTTCCCCTCGGGGAGCCATGTACCTGGTGCTATGCATGGAGGTGATCCCACTTTGAAATAAAAGTGTCCCCTGTTCCCTTTATCAAGTCATCAAAGACTCAGACTGCGGGGGACAGTTGAGGCGGTGAAAGGATTGTGATGGGTGAAAATAAACAAGCAGGAAGCAGTAGCTCTGAGGCCCAAGCAGACGCCAGAGCACAGCTTCAGTATGGGATCTGCCTAGGGCTCAGCAGTCTGTCCCGGCTTCCTTTAGAAGAACTTAAGAAAATTAAAAGTAAAAATCTTTGTGTGCAGACCTGGGGAGATGACTCAGACAGTAAGCACTCAGTTTGCAAGTGTGAGGATGTGATTCCCATCCCCAGAACCTGTTCCAAAAATAAAAATTAAAAATAAGAGGCCAGGCCTGGTAGTCAGTTTGTAAGCACTGGGAAAGGAGAGGAAGTAAATCCCTGGAGCTAGCCGGGCAGCCAGTCCCGTCCAGGCGACAAAGTTCAGGTCAGTGAGAGACAAAAGCAAAGGGATCAGGTGGTATCTGAGAAGCAATTAAAGAATTTGTTCTTACACACACATATACACTTACTCACATACGTATATACACAGAGAGAAAGAGATAGAAGGAAGGGAGGGAGGGAGGGAAAGAGGAAGAGAGAATGAGAGAAAGAGGGAAGGAGAAAGAGAGGGGAAAGAAGGGAGGGAGGGAGGAACAGAGGGAGAGAGGGAAGTTAGGAAGGAAGGAAGGGAGGGAGAGAGGGAGGGAGGGAGGGAAGGAGGAAGGGAGGAAGGAAGAAGACTTTCCATGTAGCAGAACCAATATCTACTGAGCTTCCCAGCCCAATTTGAAATTTGGGTCTCAGCTAATAGCTCAAGGTTGCTTTGCCTCATCTTGTGCTACAAATGTTCATTCCCTCCAGACCTCACAGAGGGTCAGTCCATACAGACCCTTCACGGATCTTGGTCTCCTCCTCACACGGCACACCATGAAAAAGCATCCTGACTTCATCTCTCTGAAAGAGAACTCAGTGAAAGGAGAACACAATGTAGTCTTCACTCTCCATGAGGACTCTAGTGGAGATGGAACTCCATAGCCAGGTATCTCTCTGGAAGCTGTCTGTAGGACGATGGCTACACATGGGACATGAGGAGACCAGGACCACAGTGTGGAAAAATGCTACAAGAAATTTTCATTTGAGAGATTATTTTTTTTCCGAAACAGGTTTCTCTGTGTAACAGTCCTAGCTGTCCTGAAACTCACTCTGTAGACCAGGCTGGCCTCAAACTCATAGAGTTTCACCTGCCTCTGCCTCCCAAATGCAGGCATTAAAAGCACCACCACCACCTGGCCTTTCTAAAATATATATGTGTTGTTTGTTCTTTTAAAGATTTGTTTATTTAATGTATGAGTACTCGGTCTGTATGTACTTTATGACAGAAGAGGGCGCCAGATCTCATTACAAATGGTTGTGAACCACCATGTGGTTGCTGTGTTGAATTCAGGACCTCTGGAAGGGCAGTCAGTGTTCTTAACCTCTGAGCCATATCTTCAGTTCCCTGAGGTTTTTTTTTTTTAGTCTAAAATGTGTAACCTTTTAATTAAACTCTATAGACTGATTAAAAATGCCTCAATCAAAAGAAAAGAGAAAGCAGAGAAGCAACACATATTTTTCTCCCCAAACGCTGTTTCACCAGCCTAGCAGGCCATGTCAGGACAAACAAGGAAAATAATAATAATATTTATTATTTATAAATAATATAAAATATTATATATTATTTATATATAATATAATAACATATTTATAAATATTTAAATACTATATAAATATATAATATATGTTTACAGTGTGTTTAATATTTATATTATATTTATATTTATAAATATATTTAATATTTCTTTACAAATGCTTATTTGTAAAGAAAACTGAGATGAAGGATCTGGAAGGAGAGAAAGGATCAAGGGGTTAAAGTGCAGGTGACAGGAGCTTCCTGACGAAAAGTGAGATAAGGGAATTTGAAAGAGGCGGTTTGGGAATAGCTGTGTGTGTACAGGTGGGGCAGGATGAAGGAGACACTGAGGGACCCGGGAACTGGTGGGAAGCAGGCAGCTAGGGAACAGAATGGACCCTCTCCTGGAGGAAGAAGCCTGAGCGTGATGTTCAGGTTACTCCGAAGACTCAAACAACCTCCATGGTGGAGAGAGCTGGGGAGGTCCGGGGATGTGCCCATGACGTGCCCAGTGTTGAGAAGTGTGATGAGGTGTGTGGGAGTCAGGTGCCGGGAGGGGGGGGGCAGGAAAGCCCCTCAGAAGAGGGGACCAGAACAGCCCAACGGTTGCAGCCTTCAACAGAGCCCCCAGTTCTAGCTGGGTGGGGAAGGGAGATGCGGAAGTCCTCCTCTAGGCCTCTGAGAAACCTCGAATGCAGGCTCAGACCAAGAAAGGGAGCATCTGTGGCTCGGCGGACAAGCGGGTGCCTGAGACTCTTGTCCGTGTATCCTGATGCTGTGCTCCTGAAAGAGTCAGGACCTGGTCTAGCGAGGCAGACCGTTCTAGTGACTAGGCCTTGGGACCGGAAAGCGTGTCAGTCGGCAGAGTGTCTATCAGGCACACATGAGGACCGAGGGAGGTTGGTCCCCAGAACCTCAAAAAGTCAAAGTGGCACCTACCCTGAGTCAGACAGTACCATGTCTCACCCCAGATTGACCTCTGATGTACACACACACAGACACACCTCATGTCATATACCTCACACATACACACACACACACTCACAATATAACCACAAATGCACATACACAATTACATACACACACATACACCACACATGATAAACATACACATACCGTACACATAACACACACACCACATATCACACGCCACACATATACTCACATACAATATATATACACACATGCATATACACCATAATTACATACACCACACATGACAAACACACATACACTACCCATAACACATTAGCACACGCCATACACACATAAACACTCATACCCACACTCATCATACACATGCCATACACACATACACTACATGTAACATGCACACATACCATACACACAGACACCATACACAAACACATACTACATATAACAACACACTCACACACATACACACACACCATACACCACACACGCATACACCATGCCCTTACACAGAGTTCTCAGGGTCAGCCCTCAGGGCTAGATGAGGTGACTGCCAAAGACACGTTCCTCCATGCTGGACAATGACCTTCGCCCTTACCTCACTCACTCATTCATTTCCTTCCTTCGTACATTCAGCGGTCTCCTGTGGAGCTGAGACCCCAGCATGGGTGGCGCTGGTGTGCTCAGCAGCTCTGCGGCTTCCTGCTGTGCTTTCTCAGGGACGTGACAGAAGCCCTCCACTCTCCGCCTCAGCTCTCCCCTCTCCTGCAAAGAGAGAGTGAGAACAGAACCGTCTTGAGTGAGTCGGGAAGAAGAACGAAACATGAACTTCTGCCCAGAATCGGAACAGACATAGTGAGGAAACTATGACCTTTGACCTCATTCTTAGTGTCAGTGTCTCACACCTGGGACAAACAGCTGGCTGAGTCTCCAGGCCACCAGGGGCTCCCAGCATCCCTCAGCCCCTACCTATTGCAGGCTATGACTGGCATACCCCACCTGCGACCCTGAACTCTCCAACCCAGGGGCTGGGCTGCCTTCCTCCAGCTGCCCTTCCCTATATAATCCAGCCATAACGGCTACGCCAGTCATTTTTATGGCCACCCGGTTTCCTGGCTCCCTCCTCTCCGCCCACCCCTCTCCTTCCACGACCCAGCCCAGGTCTTGCCCACTCTGGACTCTCCCGGATGGCCCTGTCTTTATGTCTTCCATCATATCTACAGGAAACCTTCTCCACACCGGGAGCAGGCATGCCTTCCTTTTCCATTTCTTTTTTTTATCCGGTATTGTTACCATCCTTCTTTGTTATTACTTCTTTCAAAACAGTGTAGCAATGGAAGGTGCTTCTTCCCAAGTCATGGTCCATTCTATGTGTGGAAGGGCCCTTCTCACTTCTGTTTCTGTCTCCTTGTTTGCTCTGGTGTGTTCCAGGATAGGAAGGAATTGCTTTAGTCTGATAACTTTGGAGAGAAAATTGTACCGGTGCCTGAGTGTCTTTCTCTCTCCAGTTTGCCTACAGGGACTTCTCACAACACATCTCCTCGGACCTTTCCTGGCCTGCTAAGAAGGGATTAGCCATCTTTGTAGGCTGGGAGCTACGAATCAAGAAATCCGGCGGCCACAAAGAGTGCCGAGATTTCCAGCATCCCTTTATCCCAGTACCAAGGTGTGTCTGGGTCTCCAGCTCCCTTGTCTTTTGTTAACTTCCCAACCAGAGTTCAGAACTCTAATGGGAAAGAAAGGTAACTATTGATTGGTCCCCCT